GAAAATGACATATTTAACCTATTTTTTTAATCGTTAAAAGTTGATTTTTGTAAATATTTATAAAAAAAATTTATTTTACCATAACTTTTAGCTCAATAGGCAAGTTTGAAATTGACATCATTAAATAGAAAATTTTATGAGAATTAAAAAAATGTTATTTTTAAGATTAATATGCAGTCAGAAAGTTTTATAATTACTATTTATTGTAAATTTATCAGAAAAACTCATTATTTTTTGCATTTTTATCGTAATAGAACACTTAAATAGAAATCATAGTAATCATTTCTAAGTAATTTTTGATATTTAAAAAGATTCTACTATTGAAATATCCAGAACTGAATTAATTTTAATGATTTACTTTAACTAAAAAAAAAAAAGTTAATATTTTGAATCCCTCTTGTGGGCAGGTAAAGGGTTAGATTTATAAAAAAAACCAAATGATAGATAAAGACATGCATCTAAATAAAAAAAAATATACTGATTTGGTCATTTTTGATAAAGTTATAACAATTAACAAAGTTATAAGTTTTATACACTGGACTACAAGGAACTTCCATCAGAAACAAAAATATACTATTCTAAATCAACTTTTCGCGATGTTTTAAAATGTGCAATTAGACTTTTTCTATAACTTCTAAGTTTTAATATTATTAAAAAATAGTTTTTACATATAAAAAAAAATAATTAAGAACAAAAAAAATTGTTTTAAATTAATACTGATTTGTGTTTTAAATTAATACTGATTTTGATTTATGTATATTAAAAATAAGGAAAATGACATATTTAACCTATTTTTTTAATCGTTAAAAGTTGATTTTTGTAAATATTTATAAAAAAAATTTATTTTACCATAACTTTTAGCTCAATAGGCAAGTTTGAAATTGACATCATTAAATAGAAAATTTTATGAGAATTAAAAAAATTGTATCGTTAAAATTAATATACAGTCAGAAAGTTTTATAATTACTATTTATTGTAAATTTATCAGAAAAGCTCAATAATTTTTTGCTATTTTATCGTAATAGATAACTTAAATAGAAGTAATAGTAATAATTTCCTAGTAACTTTTGGTGTTTGTAAAGATTCTGCAATTGAAATATTCAGAACTTAATTAATTTTAATAATTTACTTTAACTAAATGNAAGATTCTATAATTGAAATATTGAGAACTTAATTAATTTTAATGATTTACTTTAACTAAATGAACCAATCAAAACAAAGTTGTTAAAAAGATTTACTCAATTGAGCGTATTATAAAATTTGATTATATTTGTAAAAATCAATTGTTAATTCACGAAAAAAACAATCATTTTTTTTAGAAATGATTTATATAGCATCATGTTACAAAAAAATTTGTAATATTATAGTCTAGTAGTAGCACACACAAATAGAGTAAAAAAAAACCCAGCACAGAGGGGTCGCGGCACAGTGATGCCATGGTATAGTTGGATCAAGTATAATGATATCTTATAGTGATTAAAATCACTATCAAAAATAAACGCTTCGATGCAAATCTTTAGATAGTGTTTAATTTTAAAAAATTGGTGTATTATTCCAAAAGCTACATGATCTGCTAGTTCCTTATTAATATCTCGATTAAGATAAAGTATGTCGAACGAAAAAANAATGAAAAAGGGTTTATTAAAAAATATTATTTCTCATAAAAAAATTGTGTGGATCCATAAACTTTTCAATAAGTTATAGCATTATAAAGTTAAAAATGTAAAAAATAAAATCGAGAATTTTCACACGAAAATAGCATTCGGTAGCGATTTTCGCCATGAAAACAAGTCCAGAGGTTTAAATCTTTTTTTTTTAAATTAAAGTATATTACATTAGCATTAATTTAAGATATATATAAAAGTGTCAGACTTTCCGGAACACTTTCAAAAGTTAAGTTGAAAAAGTTAATTTTTTGTGAAAAAGTTGTCATTTTAAATGCCCCCCTTTGGGCAGATAAAGGGTCAGATTTACAAAAAAAATATACCAAATGATAAGTAAAAACATCAAACATCTATATAAAAAAAATTATATTGATATGTTCATTTTTGAAAAAGTTAGAGCATTATTAAGTTAAAAATATAAAAAAAAATTATTTTACAAAAATCGTAATTTTTTATTAACTTTGATGTCAACTTTTACCACGAAGACAAGTCCAGAGGTCAAATTTTTTTTTTCAAATTAAAGTATATTACATAAGATTTAATTTAAGATATATATAAAAGTGTCAGACCTTCCGGAACACTTTCAAAAGTTAGGTTGAAAAAGTTCTACTTTATATATGCATTTTTTATATTTTAAGTATTACTCTTATTGTGTATATTGTATATTGTATGAGCTTAGGTAGACCATAAAATATGGGTCTCTTCAAGACAAAAAATATTTGAATTAAAAAGAAGTACGTCAGAAGTAAACATTTCTGCTAACATTAAATTCAAAAAATAATTTTGATTAATTAAATTTAACGTAAATTACTTGAAAGTATTTGTATTATTATTATTTATGTGAAAATAATATATTGAAATCCTAGTTCCCAGAGTGACTCTTTCAATACGTTTCATAAACGTTAACTTAATGAACTACTTATAAATGACGGGTCGGGTGTTTTCTGTTACTCTTAATAGGCGAACAACGAGAAGACAATCCACTAAAGGGTAATTATGGACAGTATTTTTATTATACATACATACATAGACTAATAGAGATTCAATATATTGATACATTAACAATAAAAATCATAAGGCATCACCCCCAGCCATCAGTCAACTACACTGCTATTTGATGTTGAAAGATTGCCGAACGCTTCCCAATCAATTCTCCTTTGAAGTATTGAATGTCAGCCTCCGCTGATCTCGATTTCCGTTGTACACTCGCTTAGTATCACGTATGAGAGGAACTGTTGGTTGTCGCCTAAACAGGCCGATACAAAATAACCAACAACAAATAAAAACACACTAGATACACAGGCCACAAGTCATCAGACTCAACGGTATGGCAACACTTCAAACACGTCCATGTACGTACTGACCTAGGTGTCGATAGTGTCGGACACGACTTCTTTAGGGTCAAGCGACGAGGGGGTGGGGTGATTATAAACTACGTGGAGCTTGACCGGGCTATACACGTAACTTTTGAACAATTTATTGTATTTATATCTAATTTAAAAAAAAAAAGTTAACATTTAACATACGGTTATACTAAAATAATATTTAGGAATAAATAATGTTTTTTGTTAACAAAAATATCTTCTGTAGAAAGTAAAAATTGCGCTTTATCATAAAATTCTACCAACTTAACACGACCCGTAACAGCGCACTTTTCATCTACGCTGAATTTATACGATCATGATTATCAGTAGTCCATCGCCTCATTTGTCTGTATTAAGATGTTAGTCTTTTCCGGCAGTCGATAGATGTGACAAGTCAGGGGGTTAATACCGCAGGAAACGTTGGAGACTGTGTAAACTGAGTTCAACTGAGTGTTATATCAATCGCACGAGCTGCGGTTACGTTTTGAGGTTTTTTTATTATAATATTTTTGCTCACACCATTATTTTGTTGTTTTACTGTAAATCCATTGTTAGTTATAAGAATAGATTTAACTTTTATTTAAATATTAAAGGAAAGGCGATGTTGTTTTAATATTATCATTAAGCACCCCTAATATAGAGTCATAAATAACCGGTTCTAAATAATATTATAGTTTATTTACTCGAAATAAAAACGTTTTAGATGTGAAACATTTTTATTCTTTTTAGGTGCAAATGTAGGAAATGATCCACCCAAAATCTGTTTCAGTACCTACAATAATTATGAAAATTGTATAAATACATTTTTATATAGAAATATTTTTTAGTAAAGGGAAAAAATAATTGGATAGACTATCCAAAATTTTGATTAAAATTGCACCGAAATGCAATTCAAATTCTCATTGACATTTCTTAGTATGAAATTTCGCATTAGATTTCATATTAATAAATATATGTATTGTATATTTCAAATCCTTTCTGACTTAGGTTTTCAATAAACATACCAAAAAAATTTATGTCTCTAGTATACCCTCCTAAAAATTCATTAGAATCTCGGGTATGAAATATGATAGTGATCAGTGAAATTCATGTAATCAGAAATTACATGTATTATTCTTTTATGGAAGTACCTTCGTTTCTGTACCGTGTTTGATGTGTGCGTCATGGTTCTTTTGAATTGAAGTGTTTATAATTGTTAGCACACTACTATAACATTCAAAATAATTAGTACACTAAAGTGTTTTTGATATGGAATTTATCTTTGATAAAGTTAAGCATAAATCGTACACAGTCCTATAGATTGTAGACTTGCATGAAAAATCACAGATCAAATGAGAATTAACCTAGTAAGAATTATAAACGGTTAAAATCATTAATGGATGTATAATTTTCATTAGTATAATAATATTTTGTTGTAATTGCTATTGTTATTTTGTTCATTGCATAAATATTTGTTTAATTATTTAAGTGACTAACACTAGAGAATTATTAAAAATAACTCCATGGACTGACAGCAATAACAGATTTACTAAATTATAGTCCACAAAAATTCTGATTTATTAATTTTATTTAGTTATACCTATTGAAAATAACTATCAAATAGACGTCACTCGGTGACTTGCAACCCAAATAGTTGACTCAAATAATAAAAGCAAAAATATTATAAATATGCCTGCAAAGCTGTATACTAAATATAAGAACCAAGTAAATATCAATTTGACATATTATGAAAATGTATATTTACAGTTATTTTTTATTGTGTTTTATTAAAATTCACTTTATATAGTTTTGTATATTAGAGTCTTCTAAACTTAATTAAATAGACATTTTTAAAAAAGTAAATACCAATATTTTTCACAATTTATGCATAAGTAATAACATAATTTATATATTTTCGTCATAAAATATCTAAAAAGTCTATAATGGTACTGTTTAAAAAAATTCACTTATATTTCTATTATTTGTTTTTTTTATTTATGGTTTTTAATAATTTATTTACTTCAAATCCTATAAAAATGCAAAAATGTAATGGAAAATTAATAAAATATATTCAAAGTTAAAGTTATTGAATTATATTAATTTAATCTTAGTATTCTCGGAAAATGTTTTACAAAACGTATTCTTTTGTTTTAATTTTTGTGTGTTGTATTTATTTTAGAGATGTTTTTGCAAACATATTTATAAAGGACAATGTAATTTAAATAAAGTTTATTAAACTATGTTTAATTTAATAATTTAGTTATAATACTTTATATTTATCTTTTATACAATATCTGGTAATAAAAAACATACAACAATTCCTTACAATTATGAAAGTCATATAATTTACTTCTTCATATGTACTTTATATTCAAATAAATAATTTTTTATAGATACTGCAGTTATAAATACAAAATTTTTATTATACACTCAAATACGTTTTTTTTTTTTTAGACAGGAACACTAATTTATCATATGACGGATGATGTAAGTTTTTGATCATTGCTAAAATTAGCGTCAATACATTTTATGAATTGAACTTTACATTTTAATTTAAGTCAATATTATATTTCAATACAATATAATATAATATAATATCAATTTATATTCAACAATTATATAATAGCTTACATAGACTTTAATTGTGTTTATAGTATATTGATAACACATAGATTATATTTCATTTTGCAATTTTTAATAAAAACATCTTGTCAAAATTTTCTTTTTTTTAGAGTTCCAAACAGTTTGGGAATCTTAATATGGTAAGAAATTATTTTATGTAAACATTGTAGTATGTTTTAATATTGAGTAAATACGGGATAATGATATGAGGGGCATCTATCCAAAGACTGCCCCAGCAAGAAAAAAGGTCGGGACTTTAACACGACCAATAGATGAGATGATAGACTACCCCCACCTCCACGTGGTCCAACCCGAGCAACGGCCCCACCGCTTGAGTAGGACTAACGAGGAAGGCAGCGCCGCGTTGTGATTTGGCTATAGATTAATATCGGGTCGTATCACAACGCAGTGGTGAGAAGATTTTAAGGCGACATNTAAAGTTAAGCATAAATCGTACACAGTCCTATAGATTGTAGACTTGCATGAAAAATCACAGATCAAATGAGAATTAACCTAGTAAGAATTATAAACGGTTAAAATCATTAATGGATGTATAATTTTCATTAGTATAATAATATTTTGTTGTAATTGCTATTGTTATTTTGTTCATTGCATAAATATTTGTTTAATTATTTAAGTGACTAACACTAGAGAATTATTAAAAATAACTCCATGGACTGACAGCAATAACAGATTTACTAAATTATAGTCCACAAAAATTCTGATTTATTAATTTTATTTAGTTATACCTATTGAAAATAACTATCAAATAGACGTCACTCGGTGACTTGCAACCCAAATAGTTGACTCAAATAATAAAAGCAAAAATATTATAAATATGCCTGCAAAGCTGTATACTAAATATAAGAACCAAGTAAATATCAATTTGACATATTATGAAAATGTATATTTACAGTTATTTTTTATTGTGTTTTATTAAAATTCACTTTATATAGTTTTGTATATTAGAGTCTTCTAAACTTAATTAAATAGACATTTTTAAAAAAGTAAATACCAATATTTTTCACAATTTATGCATAAGTAATAACATAATTTATATATTTTCGTCATAAAATATCTAAAAAGTCTATAATGGTACTGTTTAAAAAAATTCACTTATATTTCTATTATTTGTTTTTTTTATTTATGGTTTTTAATAATTTATTTACTTCAAATCCTATAAAAATGCAAAAATGTAATGGAAAATTAATAAAATATATTCAAAGTTAAAGTTATTGAATTATATTAATTTAATCTTAGTATTCTCGGAAAATGTTTTACAAAACGTATTCTTTTGTTTTAATTTTTGTGTGTTGTATTTATTTTAGAGATGTTTTTGCAAACATATTTATAAAGGACAATGTAATTTAAATAAAGTTTATTAAACTATGTTTAATTTAATAATTTAGTTATAATACTTTATATTTATCTTTTATACAATATCTGGTAATAAAAAACATACAACAATTCCTTACAATTATGAAAGTCATATAATTTACTTCTTCATATGTACTTTATATTCAAATAAATAATTTTTTATAGATACTGCAGTTATAAATACAAAATTTTTATTATACACTCAAATACGTTTTTTTTTTTTTAGACAGGAACACTAATTTATCATATGACGGATGATGTAAGTTTTTGATCATTGCTAAAATTAGCGTCAATACATTTTATGAATTGAACTTTACATTTTAATTTAAGTCAATATTATATTTCAATACAATATAATATAATATAATATCAATTTATATTCAACAATTATATAATAGCTTACATAGACTTTAATTGTGTTTATAGTATATTGATAACACATAGATTATATTTCATTTTGCAATTTTTAATAAAAACATCTTGTCAAAATTTTCTTTTTTTTAGAGTTCCAAACAGTTTGGGAATCTTAATATGGTAAGAAATTATTTTATGTAAACATTGTAGTATGTTTTAATATTGAGTAAATACGGGATAATGATATGAGGGGCATCTATCCAAAGACTGCCCCAGCAAGAAAAAAGGTCGGGACTTTAACACGACCAATAGATGAGATGATAGACTACCCCCACCTCCACGTGGTCCAACCCGAGCAACGGCCCCACCGCTTGAGTAGGACTAACGAGGAAGGCAGCGCCGCGTTGTGATTTGGCTATAGATTAATATCGGGTCGTATCACAACGCAGTGGTGAGAAGATTTTAAGGCGACATGGGCCGCCCTGAAGCAATGCTTCACGGCAGTTCCAAGGCGGTTCACATTAAGTCGGTTATAGGAGAGAAAAAAAAGGGATAATGATGTGCAATTATTATTGTCATTATTAAGTAAGACATTTTGTTTTTTTTATTTTACGACTTGCATTATTGCGAACCGCCCTGGAACTGCCGTTGGGTATTACTTAAAGCGTTTGCGCCATCTCTATAACTCACATCACTGTGTGACCTTTATCATTATCCGGGTCTAAAAATCGGGTTCGTTACCCTGGCCGCTTCACATGGAGATGGATGTATGACTTTGCGAAAGTCTTAAACACACATAAAGATTTTCTAAAGTGCCGGCCTGAACCAGCGCTTCTATTTCAGATGTTCGGTCGATTTGCCTTTTCTTCCTTTAATTTTTATATCATCGTCCCTCAATATTATCCTTAAAAATTGAAAACATTTTTCGCATTCCCCGTAAATGGAGGAAATTTCTAAAGAAAATACAAATTTTAAAATTGCTAATTTTCGACATTTTTTCAATTTTTGTTACTTTTTACTTACGTTCATTTGACGTACATGCGCACGAAATTCTATAGGATTTACAGTAGAACCGTTGTTTTACTGTTCGATAGTTATTTTTCTATCCTAGGTGACATTCTAAGGGGTCGTCGTGGTAATACCATATTAGGTGTTGTAATTTGTTACTTGGTACGACAATTGGCGTGTCCGCTCCCATGCGATTACGCAAAAGTCCATTTAATAAAAAAAATCTCTTTATTTTTGACGCACTTTTGCTTATTCATAGTGGTGGCATGTTTGTTTAAATTTTGTGTGGCATGTGAGACCATGTCGTTTCAGGCGTTCCAAAATTTACTAAGATGATCTAAATAGTTTTCTATGTTATCCGAAAATATCATGATATCGTCCAGATAGACCTGAACAAAATCATTTACATACCTCTTAAGTACTTCATTCATAAGTCTTACGAAGGTCATGGGTGCATTTTTAAGTCCAAACGGCTGTTCATGAAATTAAAACAAGCGCCTCCTCGTTCTAAACAATGTTTATTTGCGTGCATTTTGTTCAAGTAAGCATTGCCAATAACCTGATTTTAAATCGAGTGTCATGAATACTTTAGCCCCCTCATACTTTTTTTACCATTTTTTTCTTGGTCAAAACGATTGGCCCCGGCCAGAGCAAGGTAATGGGTTCTAGAAGTCCCTGGGATTCCATATCGCCTACCATTTCGTTTTTCGCTTCTTGTTTGTGTAAAGAGCACGGGTATAGTCTTAACACGATGGGTATGGGTCCTGATTGGTCAGAAAATCATGCTCTAGAAATGCGTCACAGTACAAATTATCCAGGTTCACGACCATAAAATTTATTGTCAGATCTGCGATGTTCGCGGTAAAAATGAATAATTTGTTAAAAGACCTCGAAGACTGCATTGTGTCCATCACTGTTGGTGGTGGTGTGATGGTGAATTTAAAGGGGCTACAACTTATCCTGCGTTGTGAGTGAGGGACTCTAGTGTAAGTTTTGTGCTCGGTGTGTGGACGAGGTGAAGTGAAAGGCCGTAAAAAATTTCATAATTCATAATTCATAAGAGGGAACGCGCTCGATTTTGTTATAAACGACGATCGAGCTGGTTGTTCGCGCTGCGAGTTGTGTTGTTTGGAGGTAATAGGAATATGCTTTTGAGGCGGGGGAGCGGACTAATATCTCCATTACTAGTAAATCGGCCTATTAGAGTAACTGCTATGTCAATAATCAGCTCCGCAATATAGGAAGGGTCGGGGAGGTCGTTCTGCGTTAGGAGCGCCCGCCCGCTTTTGGACGGCCTGTGGCTTTTGATTCTCGTCTGTGGGGGGGTGTGCAGGAGGTGGTACGTAAGGATTTAAGTTGACTTTTAGCTTACTAGCAATCGTTCTCGATTACACGCAAATTGTTTAGAGTACGCGGAAATTGTATTTCCACGTTGTCGTAATATTCTTTATTAATTATAAAAGACTGATTACCCGATCTACGATATACGGCTCTGAATAACAGGGACGTGCGCGCTTTGCTAGACGTTGTTTATTTATAATAAACTCCGTCGTTCGCTGATGGGGTCCCTGTTGTGTCGTCATGAATTTATTCTTCATCTCCACTTGGATGTTGTTATTATCGAACGCCACGAGAAACTTCCTTGAAAATTAGCGCCAACATGTTGTTCAATTTAATGGATTCTCACAAAGTAAATGCCGTGTCTCTTAAAAACTGTACATCGGTTTTCACCCACAAATCGTAATGAATACTGGCTCCTAGCTGCTCCAAAAACTCTCTCAGGTCCTCTTCATATTTTCCCGTGAACTCGGGAGACGGAGGACGTATAACAGGCGGATTATTATACGGTATA